ACTATCAACGTAGGTTTTGATTCTCTCACTATAAAAGCCCATGATTATTTTGTTCGGGGAACTTGTTGCTTATGGCAAAAGGTTGCCCCTTGGACTAGACAATAAAATCATCTCACTCACCTTGGAGTCTCGCTCTGATTCATTGAACCCCAAGAGGAGACCTGAAAGAAGCTCCAGTCTCCTGGCTTCCAATTGGCTCAGCTTTAGCTGTTGCAGCTACTTAGGGAGTGAATCAGTGGATGGCAGATCTTCCTCTCTGTCTCTCCTCCTCTCCGTAATATCTGACTTTCCAGTAAAAATAAAATAAATCTTAAAGAAAAAAAAAACCCAAACCAAACTAGCAAAAAAGATGCAGTTTGGGATTCCTACATCTCAGATTGCTCTCTTTCTGTGTCCAATTTCTAGGTTCTTGCTAATGTGCACCTGAGAGGAAGCAGTGATGGCTCAGGCATGTGGGTCCTTGCTACACACATAAGTGACCCGGAGATAGTTCGGGGCTTCTGGGTTTGGCTTGATCCAGCTCAGACTGTTTCAGGCATATGGGAAGTGATGCAGCAGGTGAAATATCTTTCTCCATCAGTCTGTCTCTCTCTTCCTTTCTCCAAGTAAACAAATGATTCAAGAAAAGGCTACTACTACCTTTTTCCCCAATTCAATCAGTTTCAACAATCACATGGTAAACTCTGGTCCAGACCTAACCAGCCAAACTCATCCACAATTCTAATGCACAGAAACCGTGACATATACTGTAATGACCATTACTGTTTTCGATTACTATAATTTGAGATAATCTGTTTCTTACTAATAAATACACACTTGGAATAACTCAAAATGTTTTTCAAAGTATGAGGCAACATCATTTCTTTGCTTCTTGAAAAATCTTAGTAGCTCTTTTTTTGTTATTCTTCAAGCCGCAGAAGAGGTTTGGCTGGATACTGTAAGGAGTAAGTTTTTGTGCACAGTACATGATCTAGATAGATAAATGATATATGATAGAAGCTATACTGTGCTAGCATCTGGGAAAAACAAAAATAGAAATTAAAACATGGATTTGTTTATATTTATGTATTGCTACTCTCCAACTTAAACATTAAATTTAAACAATTTCAGAAACTGTTTACTTACTGAGTAAAAATCACAAACGGGGGCCAGTGGCACCGTGGCTTAACAAGGTAATCCTCAGTGTGTGGCAAGAGCATAGGGGTGTTGGCTTGTGTCCCAGGTGCTCCTCTTCTGATCCACCTCATTAGCAAATGCCCTGGGAGAGCAGTGGAGGATGGCTGCAGCCTTGGGACCCTGAGCCCACATTGAAGACATGGAGGAGATTCCTGGCTGGACCCATCCAGCTCTGGACCTTGCAGCCATTTGGGGAGTGAATCAGCAGATGCAAGATCTCTCTCTCTAATTCTTACTTTCAAGTAAAATAAGTAAATCTTCAAAAATCATTCAAACAGAAGAGTTTTGCTTTCTAATGCCAAATCTCTGATTACTTACATTATAAGTAAAATTTGTATTCTTAGAACATTAAGATTCTTCTAGGATTGGATATGTTTCCTTCTTAAAGATTTAATCTTGGGCCCGGCGCGGTGGCGCAAGTGGTTAAGTCCTCGCCTTGCACGCCCGGGATCCCATATGGGCGCCGGTTCTAATCCCGGCAGCCCCGCTTCCCTTCCAGCTCCCTGCCTGTGGCCTGGGAAGGCAGTTGAGGACGGCCCAAAGCTTTGGGAACCTGCACCCGCGTGGGAGACCCGGAAGAGGCTCCTGGCTTCGGATCGGCATAGTATCGACCCGTTGCGGCTCACTTGGGGAGTGAATCATCGGATGGAAGATCTTCCTCTCTGTCTCTCCTCTCTGTATATCCGCCTTTCCAATGAAAAAATAATAACAAATAAATCTTAAAAAAAAAAAAAAAAAAAAGATTTAATCTTGGTATGTAGAACAATGTGCTTGCTTATCTTACTTACCTTTGGTAAATGTTCACAAACTGTAGTGGTTAGGAGTGTTTTTCAGGAGACAGAGAGGTTAGTGATTTGCCAAGAGTACACAGCTGGAGATAGCAAAGCTGGAAGAGGAGCTCAGGATGTCTGATTCTAGACTCCATACACTTTTTTTTAAGATTTATTTTTTTTAATTGGACAGTGAAATATAGAGAGGAGGAGAGCTAGAGGGGAAAAATCTTCCATTCACTGATTCACTGCCCAAGTGTCTGCAGCTGCCAGCCCAAGCTGAGCCGGTCCAAAGCCAGGTGCCAGGATCCTCTTCCACGCGGGTGCAAGGTCCCAAGGCTTTGGTCCACAAGGAGGGAGCTGGATGGGAAGCAAGGCTGCCAGGATTAGAACCGGCACCCATATGGGATCCTGGGCTCGTGCAAGGAGAGGACTTTAGCCGCTAGGTTACTGCATTGGGCCCTAGACTCCATATTCTATTTTTTTTAGACTCCATATTCTAAATTACTACTTTTAATGTCTCTGTGACAATGTATTTTTGTCTAAACCAATGATTTCTTTCCTCTTCAAAGCTGGTAGAGTATTTCTTTCATTTTTTAAATAATTTTTTCCTTTGGTGGAGATTCAGAGCTACAGAGGGATGTTATGTCCACTGATTACTGCCCAGAGGTTTGCAACTACTGGCACTGGCCTGGCCACAGCAGGAGCCCTGAGCTTAATCTACAAACTGCCATACGGCAACATCTTTTGTTTTCCATTAAATTACCTTTTCTTAGGAAAGTAGAGCATTTGAATTGCTATTTAAATTTCTCTACTTACAATTTCTCTACTTATACTCTTAATGATATAAAAGCAGTGACTCTACTATAGTCATATTTTAATCTCTGCTGTAAAACTCTATTGTGTAATAAACTTAACTTGAGCAGAAAAAAAATCTCACTTTGACTGACAGTATCCTCAGCTGTTTCCTATAAACCTACAGGTTCTTATTCCTTAATGTATGAGTCACATTCATTCTAAATGTTACCAATTGTGCACAGGTGGTTCTTACAAAGCAAATTAAAGCAAGAGGAGTTCCTTCCCTTCCCCCCACCCCGTGTCTTTGTATGTAAAACCTAACGTTACAAAATATTAGAAAACACTGAAAAGCTTGATGTTCTAAGCAACACATTTGTGTAAAAGCAGGTTGCATAGGCTAGGCCCTATCTGGTAGTCATTCAAGCTGACTAGCACTCTAGCCAAGTAGTAAACATACAGATAAAATCTGTTAACTCCACCTTCACAGCAGAGTACTGAATTCCCTTTGCAGTGCTGGCTGGGGCGGGAGCGGGACAGGGCAGGGCGGGTAGGGGGACAGGACTGGCTGCGTTTTTGGTTTAATCTCTATGTCCACTTTCCAAGCTGTAGTTAAATCCCAGACATGCGAGTAGACATATAGCCTGTTAAATTTATATAATGAGTTTCATTATAAAAAGGTGTGTGGTACTAAAATTTTTGTTTTCTGATCACCTTAATTTGGCACCCTTGGTCCGCTGTTAAAAACTGTTTTTATCTCATGTAAAACTCTCTAATTGTAATGTGCCTCCTTGAATTCATGAGAGCCTGTTTTTAAAAGCATACCTCCTTTTCCGCTGTGGCAGGGCTAAGTACTTAGGGATTATCGAATTCACAATGAAAGGTGCCATTTAAATGTAAGGGATGCTTTCAAAGACCTATGGGATGCCAATAAAGCACTCTTTAAACACAATTGATTCTGATTCTAGATAATTTAAAGACTAGGCCCAGAAAGTTTCTGAAGGTAAATGCTTTTAGAATCAAAAGTAACATTGGGAAAAGTAACGTTGGAAACGAAGATGAAAACACCAAGTCTGGGCGTGTGTCAGTGAGGGAGATGTAAAACTGACAACCTTGAAATATCGTGCTATGTAATAACAATATACAGAGATGAACAGGGCAGAGCCATCTTTTTCTCCTGAAACGGAAATTGGGGCATAGAAAGCTTTATTGTCTGCTGAGCCAGCCTGCAGCTCAGACACTCCTCTCGGCTGCCTTTGATCTCACGACTCCTCCAGTCCCGGAGCCTGCAAGTGTAAATATCAATAATACACGAACGAGTTTTCAGAGCTGGTGGATCATGTGGATCATTGGTTCTGAGCGTTCCCTTTGACGACAGAAGAAACCCAAGCTCTGAAAGATTGAGTTACCCATCGTTACTCAGCGACAGCAGTGTTTCTTGAACACCCTGGCTTCCAGAACTCTGCAAGAAAAAAAAAGTGCAAGATCATTAGGGCTGTCCATTGGGCCTCTTAACACCCTAACACCTGTGTCTTATTTTAATGGTATTCAGGTTGAATGCCCATGGATAATTACAGGCAGCGCCAGGGCGTAGGGGCCTTAGCTCTCCTCCCTGACTCTGTACCCAGTTCCGCGCAGGTTTTTTTGGGTCAAGGTTGGCCTCCCTCTTGCCTGCTTCAGGCCCCCCGGGCATGGCTAATACCCAGGCCAGTGCGGCGAGGTCGGTGGATAGAGTCAGGAAAGGGAAGCCAGTGCCCTGGCAGGGGACTCTTCCAGTCGCCGGCCACAGCTGCACTTCGAGTCCTCCCATCCCGAAGCCGCCCTCAGCCGGGCAGCCGCCCCCTCTGCCTGACCCCATTTCCCCAAGGTTCTGGGGCGCCAGGGTAACCCGACCTAACCCTGACCAGGGTGAAAACATTCTGTGGCTGGCACTAGGGGGATGCCACACATGGAGGGAGGACGGGCGGCAGCGAGCAGGGGTCGGGGAGCCAAGGACAGCTTTAGGGGCCCGGCTTGTGCGGTCGGGCCCCCCGCAGGTCACCTCCCCTCAGGCACCGGCGTAGCCGCCAGGGCCACATTCCTCCTCCTCCTCCTCACACGCCGCCTCGGCTGATCTGCCATGACTCAGCGCTTCTCACAGGCTGCCCTGCTGGGGACACCGGCATCGCGCGGGCTCCTCCCGCCGCGTCCACCCCCTCTCGCCACCCACACCCGCCCCCGGCTCGGGGCCTTTCACCGCGCGGCAGCCGCCGGCCGCCACACTCGGCGCCGGCGCCTCAGCAGCATCCGCCGCCCGCACCGCGCGTGCCGCCGAGCGTTCCGCACCGACCCCGCCGCCGTCGCGCCTGCACGCAGCCATGGAGCCCCAAGCCCCCCGCCGCCGCCGCCACACCCACCAGCGCGGCTACCTGCTCACGAGGAACCCCCACCTCAACAAGGTAAACCCCGGGTGTCCCCCGGGCAGCCCCGCCGCACCTCTGCTCCCCGGGGCAGGCCCCTCACTTGGGGCCTCGCAACATGGCCTCGCCCCTCCGCCCGCCCACCCGGGGACGGCGCCTGGCGAGAGGTCGGAGGCTGTGGGTGCCCGGTTGGGGACGGCATTAGAGGGGGACGCCGAATGTGGGTCTGTGACCTGGAACGTGATGGCGGGGCGGTGCCGGTACCTGGCTCCCCTTTTGGCATCCCATTTTGGGAACAAGGAAGATGTAACTTGTCCATGATTACTTTGGGGCTGCTTTCATTCAAAAAGCAGAGCCTGGGCAAAGTGAGGGGTGTCAGACGACTGGCGCGAACTGTTTCTGTGACGGTGGCAGGCTGGCTGCCAGGCAAGCCTGAGCGTGCCACCCACTTACTGGTTCCACTCAGTGTGGCAATCGGAGGGAGGCTGCTGTGCAGCCCAGAAGTGGCCCTGCTGGTCCGGCCTGGATTGCAGCGGCAGTGTCGTGGTCCAGAGCCTGCCGGTTTCTGGAGCGACGCGGGGCAGAGTCTGGGAATGCGCGGTGCGTGGCTGCCGCCTCAACACTTTGCACAGCCTGGTTGGAAAGCCCAGTCTTAGACAAGGCACTGGATAAAGCCACTTTTTCTTATTCATTTTTTAAGTCTTTCTCGAAGGGAAAACGCTTCAGAATTGGGCATTTCGCACCTGTAGGTCCTAAGTAGTCATACTTATTTTAGAGCCAGGTTTGTCTTTAGATTGTTCCTTTGTGCTTCTCACGGGGTGTGCTTTTGACTCATTTATGTATTCAGTACGCTGAAAATGCCATCAGTCAGCACACGTTCTGTTTAGTTACCTTGGGTGTCTTCTTGGTAGGCATCTTTTTTCATGAAGAGCTAGCCCTCAGGTTTCCCCCCAGCACCCCCACCGGTCATGATGATGGTAACTTTTAATGGCTTAAAGATTTGTGATTTCTTTCATAACTTATACCTACTGCGGGTTCTTTATTATTTTTATGGTAATCTGCAGCTTTTTCAAAACTATGATGACTTACTTACTCTTTGTGGTTATATAGCATGAAATTTTGAAGAATTTCCTACCTATAATTTTTCTTTAAAGCAAATTCAGTTACCAGTTTGGTATGTTTTTCATCCTTTTTATTACTCTCTGGATTTGGGTCTATTTTCAGTAGAGCAAAGGCAAAATATAGTACGGCAAAACAATGTGTGACTTTCCTGTGTTATTTGCATGCTGTAATTTATAACCAAATTATGGATGACATCTAACAAGGACCACATAGCTTGTATAACCTGTTTGATTTTCCACAAGTCAGGACCTGGTGTGTCAGGGAAGAGGTAGTGGATGGAACAGGTAGCTATTCCCTAAGCAACGTGATAGTTCCTGCAGTGTGTTTATATCATGGATTTGTGATGTTCCAATCCTTTTGAGTACTGGTTATCTGTGAGGATTAATGCCTACTTCATGAAGATCTTCCACCACAGGTGTGAAAGATGCAGTATAATAAGTGTGTTAGCGACACATCTTTGAACTTATAATTGGACTTTGCTATCTGAATCTGAGAGCTTAGCTTCAAAAATCCAGTTCATCAGCTTCAGGACAATCAGAAGAATAAACTTTGCTCCTCCTTTTCTTTTTCTTGTTTTTTTTTTTTTTTTTTTTTTTTTAAGATTTATTTATTTTTATTGGAAAGGCAGATATACAGAGGAGAGACAGAGAGGAAGATCTTCCGTCTGATGATTCACTCCCCAAGTGACCGCAGTGGCCAGTGCTGTGCTGATCCAAAGCTGGGAGCCAGGAGCTCTTCTGGGTCTCCCATGCGTTGCAGGGCCCCAAGGCTTTGGGCCATCCTCGACTGCATTTCCAGGTCACAAGCAGGGAGCTGGATGGGAAGTGGAGCTGCCGGGATTAGAACCGGTTCCCGTATGGGATCCCGGTGTGTTGAAGGCGAGGACTTTAGACACTATGGCACCTGGCCCAATGCTCCTCTTTTTCAATGTTTAGCAGTTGTGAGGCACCTCATGGAAGTCACAGTGTCTACCATGGGACGTGCTGATCTGCTCTGCACACAAGACCTGTAGGACTTGCTTGCTTTCTTTTTAAAATTTTGTGATAGTTTGGTTCCAGAGAGAGGCAGATATATCTTAATTTCCCGTAATGGCAGCTAACCTGTCACTTGGCCATGTAACATCACCCTCAGTCATACTACCGCAGTTCCTTCCTCACCATACATTTGGATAATCTAAATAGTAATTTCTTTTCTGGGTTTCTTATTATTATAATCTGGCCCAGCTGTAGGTATGAAAGAAATATCTCCATTGGGCCCGGCGTGATAGCGTAATGGTTAAGGTCCTCACCTTGAACACACCGGGATCCAATATGGACACCGGTTCTAATCCCGGCAGCACTGCTCCTCATCTAGCTCGGTGCTTGTAGCCTGGTCCCAAGGCTTTGGGCCGTGCTCGACTGCTTTCTCAGGCCACAAGCAGGGAGCTGGATGGGAAGTGGAGCTGCCGGGATTAAAACTAGCACCCATATGAGATCCCAGCACGTGCAAGGCAAGGACTTTAGCCTCTAGGCCTCGGCGCCGGGCTCAAATTGAATAATTTCTTAAAAACAAACAAACAAAAAAAGATTTATGTATTTAAAAGGCAGGGTCAAAGAGAAGGAAAGACAGAGGAAATCCTTCATCTGCTGGTTCACTCTCCAAAGCTGCAATGGCTGGGGCTGGGCCAATCCAAAGCCAGGATCCTCAAACTCCATCCTGGTGTCCCATGTGGGAGGCAGAGACCGAGGTACTGGTACCATCTTCCACTGCTCTCAGGAATGTAGGCAGAGACGTGGATTGCAAGCATAGCAGCTGGGACTCAGAATTTCACCCTGACTTGATACTGTATCACAGGCAGCAGCCTAACCCACTGCCCACTAATGCTCGCCCCAGATGGGTGAATTTCTATTGATCCACGTTCAAGGTCACAAACTCTTTCCACTGTCAGTTATTCACAGAATGAATATATTATCTAAGTTACCTTTCAATTCTAAATTATCTACTTTTTTACTTAATACTTTTATTTTTTGGGATGTTCTTTCAATGAATTTTAAAAGATTTTATGCCTGGGTGAGTGATAGAGTGGTTGAACGTTACTGCTTGAGATGTATGGTCCCAATAGGTATGCTAGATTTCCATTTCCTGTCCAGCGTTACGCTAATGCACACTCCGGGAGGCAGACAGTGATGGCTGATGTGTGTGGATCCCTGACGCCGTGTCTGTCTGCCTTTCAAATAAAATGGAATATTCTTTGAAAATGTGAAGAGCTTTTGCCTTTAAGTTTTGGGTCATGATCATAACAACTGATTGATGACTCAATATTTTTAAAATTATTTCATCTTGATAAGATTTACATAGTTGATTAGGGCACAAAGGATCAAGGGCTACAGGAACGTGTGTAAGACCATTGTTTTTACCTTATTATTACTGTATTGGGGGTAAAGGGGTGATAAAGGGAGAAGTCCTACCCAGCCTCCCACCCGTCCCAGGTCCCTGACATGGGGACTGCTCCAAGGGTCCTGCACAAGTGGTTTTATAATAGTTCAACAGTTCTGAATTGCTGCCAGTCTTGCCATTCTAAGCACAATGAAATCTCTCCAGAATCCACTGGCTGACATAGTCCACCTTGGAGTTTTGTTTACCCAGATATTCACTGCCAACACATGGCTGGATGACTCAATATTTTAAATAACTTTGTTTTCATTGATGAAGAATAAAAAGAAAAAGATAAAAAGTATGCTTACCACTCTTACCTGGTTCATTCTTCTCATAATTGATAAGAGTTTCCTTCTCCATGTTTCTATGAAGATGAGTTTTCTTGTGTCAGAGTGAGCTGCTTCCTAAATTTGCATATTCAGCTTTTCACTTATTCAACTCCAACTGTCCCAGTCTTCCTTAGTATCTCATTTTGTTATCACTGCTTAGTGAACATTCACTTCTTTTTTTTTTTTTTTTAACATTTATTTATTTAGATTAGAAAGGCAGATTTGCAGAGAGAAAAAGAGACAGAAAGATCCTCCATCTGCCGATTCATTTCCCAAGTAACAGCAACAGCTGGCGCTGAGCCCATCTGAAGCCAGAAGCCTCTTCTGGGTCTCCCACACAGGTGCAGGGTCCCAAGACTTTGGGCCATCCTCCACTGCTTTCCCAGGCCACAAGGAGGGAGCTAGATGGGAAGTGGAGCGACTGGGACACAAACTGTCACCCATTTGGGATCCCAGTGCATGCAAGGCAAGGATTTTAGCCACTAGGCTACCATGCTGGGCTCAAGCATTCACTTCTTAACCCCCTAATTTATATTAATTCTTAAGTTTTAGCTTTTATTTCTCCTGTGTTTTTCAAAAATGTTATTTTATAGTTACACAGCTATTTGTATGATTTTGTGCAGTACTTCTCTAGATTTGTGACTTTCATGAGACTATGGACCATACTTGGCATGTGGCTGTTTCATTGCAGTTGTACCTGAAGCCATTGTAAACACTGACCCAGCAGATATTTGTTTCAAAATACTTGGCAAATGTGACAATTTTATGTCAGTTGGGCTATGAAATGCACGGTCATTTGACACAGCCATTTGATCACAGCCAATTGTTCTGGGAGCATCTATAAGGTTCTTTCTGGTATGATATTAGCATTTGGACTGAATAAAGATTTCTTTTCCTAAAACGAGTGGGTCTCATCTAATCAGTTGAAGACCTGAATATAACAAAAACATTGAATGAGAAGAAATGCCTCTAACCTGGCACCCTTTGAGCTGGGATATAAATTTTAATCTGTATTTGAACTGGAAGTAAGGTATGAACCTTTCCTGGGTCTCCAGCTGACTGGCTTCCAAACTGAAAATACACCATTGGCTCTCACGGGTCTCCTGCTTGCTAATAGTAGATCTTGAGACTTCTCAGACTCCATAATCATGTGATTCAATTACGGTGTGCCTT